ACAGGGAATATTTCTCGAAGGCATGAAATACCATTGTAAAACATCTTAGAGGTGTAGCTCTTCGATATACATATATTAACTCTAATTATTTTATACAATAAAATTCATTTAATATTTGCTCATTTCAACCTTAGAGTGTGACCCTATAGGTTTTTGTAACATTAGAAGTAATTATTAGAACCATTCTAAAATTACAAACGATGAGTGACATCTAGCAATATATCATTGTCACCTAAATTACAAGAATCATGATTTGACATATCATCTTCATGACTGACTCTTTTATGTATTATATCTTTTTGTCCTTTATTTCTTGATATCTAGAGTATACTATAATTAACGAATAATTTGTGATATCTTATATCAACTTATTCGAGCATGGCCATGCATTTCTAGTCTCACTCAATCAAGTGGTCTGTGATATATTTCCTATTATGTATGAACGAAAAATTCTATCTTAATCATTCACATCCCACTGCATATATCGAGATATGTTCAATATCAGTCTTTATAATGTAACCAGTTACGTAGCATGTTTAACTGTATCAAAACATATAACAATATAAGTTAAGATAGTAATGGTCTCAAGTCTGAGGATTATACATATACTCATAACCATGAGCAATGTTGTGACCATCATATAATAATCCAAGACATATGCTCATAGTGGGTCAATCCAACATGTCGTTCTCTAACAACATATTCATGTATCGATTCTGAAATTTCTATGTCAATGACAATTCATTACCATCAATCAATAACAAGTTAGTCTTAAACATATTATTATTCTTCATACCTATAATAATATTCGACTAAGGATATTTAATAATAATCATATTATTATATGGACTTTATTATCTTTCAGTTTATGTTAGACACGAATATATAACTGAAAATAATAGTGGCAATACATTTATTCAATAAAATCAGTAAATAAAATGTGTCCATACAATCATCATATGATTGGTCTTTGGGCATAATCTAACATGATTGACTTTATGGGACCATTTTCTTCATCGTTTTGAGATCTCAACATCTTCTAGCAGTGGAATATATATAAAAATAGGTGAAAGCAGTGGCTATATCGAGATATGACTCCAAGACTATCATGAAGTTTCTTTATAAGAATATATTCACAAGATTTGGAGCCTTGAGAGCCATTATAAATGATGAATGAACCCACTTTTACAACAAATTAATTGTTAGCACTTCAGAGATACTGGGTAAGGCTCAAGATTGTCACAACATATCACCCCTAGACAAATGACCAAGATGAGATCTTCAATCATGAGATTAAACAAATACTAGAGAAGGTGGTCAACTATAAGAAGAATGATTGGTCACCAAGGCTAGACGAAGCCTTATGGGCATATAGGACAGCTTTTAAGACTCCCCTTAGAATGTCACCTTCCAAGCTTGTTTATGGTAAGGAACGTCACCTCCAAGTTGAGCTCGAAGGCATATTGTACTATAAAAAAGCTCAACATGGATGCTCAGTTAGTTGGAGAAAGAAGGTTGTTAGAACTGAATGAGATAGAGAAATTTAGGGCCCATGCTTATAAGAATGGGAGGTTATATAAGGAGAAAACAAATAGATGACATGAGAAACGCCTTTTTCCATGGCATTTTCATGAAGGCAAACAAGTCCTCATTTATAAATAAAGGCTCAAGTTATTTCCAGGAAAGCTCAAATCATGGTGGTCTGGCCCTTTCCAAATATATAAAGTTTACCCCCATGAAGATGTGGACATCAAGAATATTGACGACCAAACAATTTTCAAGTTCAACGACTAAAGACTAAAAGCTTAAACCGATGTCCCAATCATTCAAGACAAGTCATCCATGTTTCTTTAAAATGCATAAGAGTTTGAATCCCTTTACTTTATCTTCTTTTTGCTATACTACGTATACAAATAAATAATTTTTTATTCTCTCTTGTCTTTAAATTTATCAGCTCATGTTCAATTCTTTCCTTATTTTATTTTTATTTACCTCGTGCTAATTTTTTCTATAGCAGCATACAACACATGAAAAATTGTCCAAGGTAAGAAGACATTCCTTTTTAGGCTAAGAGTTTTTTCCTTACTTGAATTAAAGAAGATGAAAGGTACCCACAAATTCCAAAGTTTTGGGCTATATGAAAAAGTTAAAAAAAATAGGGCTTTTAAATTTCAAACCCCACAAAATCATTACACTTTTCAAATTCTTTTTCTTCCTTTTTCTTTTTTGCATTAACTTTCTCACATCCCATTACCCCAAAAAAAACCCATAACCGTCAGCCCATTAATTAACCTTGTTGTTTATTAGTTTTTTTTTTAATTTTATTAACTTTATTATTTTTTATCTCAAAACCCTTTTATCTCCCTTTTTATTTTTATCATTAAAAAGCTATCCATTTCTTCTTCCCCAATTTCACGAGAAACCCTAGCTATTAACCAAGAAAAAACAAAAAGCCTTTTTCTACTTCCCCTCAACCATGCCACGCTGTAAGAATGTTACTAGCGTTGCATCTTCTTTGCAAGGAACAAAACCTATCTATATAGAAAATTTTTAGAATGAGGCGACAAGGGAACAATTTCAACATATCAAAGGACGAAGAGTCTATTTGGAACAAGGTCGTATCTCTCATTCCGACGATGAAGAAGGTTTCGACAAAGATATTATGGAAATGGTGACCAAGGAAAAATGGAGCAAACTTTTCGAACACCCTGGTCCCATTGTCGTGACATTGGTGAGGGAATTTTATGACCATCTTACAAGTCCTGTCACAACAGTCTTTCGGGTGGCCATGTTCACATTTTGACTTGGATTGGATAATGGAGTTGATACCGATCGTTTTCGAATTAGGTATATCAGACACATCAAACTTACTATTTTACAAGATCTGTATCTTACCAGAGCTTTTTCAGATTGGTAGTCATTTACAATAGATGATAGGTGAGTATCCTGAAATTTCCTTTCGGTACCATTCGATTACCCAGTTATCTTAATTGAGAAAATTGTAATTTAAATAAGAATTTATATTTTCAATCTAATTACTTACCTTGACAAACTTCGAAATTTAATTGAATTCCTTAAAAAATAAATAAAATTAACGTTTAAAAATCACAAAAAATAAAAAATATATTTGAATACTACAAAACAAAAGAAAACACATCAATGAATCAAATTAAAATAAAATATAAAAATAAGGACTAAATTGCATTAAATAAAAGTTAGAGGGCTACATTACAATGATTAAATTAAATTTCATGTAAAAAGGACCAAAATGGAATAATCCAAAACCTAGAAGGACCAAAATGAATTTGCTATTTAAATCATAAAAGCAAATGGATCACACCTTGGAATGACCTGTCCTTTGCTTAAACAATTGTGAAAACTAAATTTTTTAATTTTAGTTCACCATTCTTTTCTCAAAAAGATGAAAAGAGAGAGTTCCTTACCCATGCTCCAATTCTCAAAAGCTGGCGATGATACCACTACAATGATCGCCATCGGTCACAGTCCACTGCCACACATTGCTATCAATCGCTGGTCACCAGTCACTATTTGACCCCAAATTTCACATGAAACTTCCTCTGAACGTTGGGAATAGGAATCCAGCCTCTATTTTACGAGGAACGGTCTCCAACTTCACGCAAAAAGACCTTCAACCATTCAGCTTTCTCCAATTTGATATGTTTCGTATGTCATTTGATCGTCTCAATTTTAAAGTATATCACTTATCTCACCCCGTGAAAGCTTCCTACCATTTGAATCTAAGAATGGACGCTCTAGTCATTGAAAAATGTTACTGGCTGAAAAGGGAAGAACACTTTTTTTTATTTCTATTTTTTTCTCTCTTGAATCGAAACTTATTGCCCACTATTTTCCCCCCTTTAATCTCTATTTTGCAGCCATTTTATACTCGAATGAGGCCCTCTTCATTTTGGTATATTGAATCTTTGAATGGATTTGGAAAATCTTCATTTTTTTAATTTATTTCGTGAATCACGAGAGTTGAATATTTTGTTTCCATATTTTAAGGATTCAATTCATTTTCGTATTTGTTCATTTTTCCTTTCCCATTTTATATTTTCATTTTTGCTGATGAAGAGAACTAGTGTGGTCACTAGGGTGAGAACATCGAAAATGTTGACATACAAAGAGGCTATAGGAGCGTGAAAACTATGGGATATAGGCGCGTGGCTTACACGCGCATTGGTGACTCCCACTACTGGTGATGAATATGTTTGCATAGTGTCCTTAGGCCCGTTTGATTCTAGGTATAATTCATTCTTGGGAGGAATGTTTTTCTCCCGGATGAATATACCCACATTTGGATGGGGGCACATTACCAAGTGCCAGTTAAAAAGAAATACCAACAATAATTTTTTTACTGTTTTCCCAGGAATATTTATCTCTCATCTCCTTTAGGTATTTCATTATTCTCGTCCCCTTGTCTAAAATAGCCTTCTCCCTTCGTTCTGGCTGATTTTGTGAAATTTCCGCCGTGCGTGATTTACATCCACCTTCCGTCGCTACTTCCCCTGAAAAACTGATTCTCTGAAAAGTTGAAAACGTTCAAGCAAGGATGTGAGTTTACATATCTACTTTTCCTTTGTTTAATCTTCAATTTCTTTGATGTTTCTTCTCTGTTTCTTCTCTGTTTCATACTTGGAAATTTTAAGGAGAAAGGTAATCGTTGAAACTCGTTCCATTAATGAAAACATAAATGAATTAACCAAAACAAATCATGACTTGACAGTCAGTTTTGGGCAACAACCTACACCTAACACATAATAAAGAAACATAATACTCTCACCTTCTTCCATGAACTTTGAGCTGTCTCCCTCTCTTCTTAATTATTCTCTCCGACAATTCCTTATGCATATGTCTAGCCTTTGTAGGTCAAGTCATCTTCCGCAATATCTGTTCATTTTCTGATTATCATTCAGTTTTGTTCTGGGTTTTCCCCTTTATTGATGATCAATTGTTTTGCTCTTTGGGTTTTTCTTTTTACTTGTTTATCTTCATCCTTAGCTGATTTGCTGGTCTGGGTTTTGTTTCTTGCTTGAAGCATGTTGTTATTTTGCTTGAACTTAGTTATAATTGATGGTTTTGATGGGTACTTTTTTTTAACTATTTTATGAAATTTTTTGCTATAATTTATTTTATCTTTTATGTTTGGTGGTGAAACAAACTTAAGTTATGCATTACTGATAATTGGGATTGGAATTAAGGCACCATGTTTGTCCACTGTATCAATAGTTATCACTTGGTTATTTCTCTTCACCATGTGTTTGTTAAGCATTTATTCAAGGTAAATTTTTAAGCTCCCATCCTGATCGAGTTCTGAAGGATCGATTGAAAAAAACACACTTTTTCCCCGACCTTTTTCTTTAAAAGGCTTACATGAAAAATCAGATGAATTTTAGAAGATTCAGGAAACTACACTTGATAAGCCACTGACCTTATACGTTTGATGATTTTGTAAGGACCGTAGTAACGTGAAGCCAGCTTGAGATGTTTTCTCAGGGCAATGAAACTCTATCGATACGGTTGGAGCTTAAATTAAACCTCATCTCTCACTTGGAACTCTCTATCTTTTCTATTTTTATCTGTATACTGTTTCATCTGAGCTTGTGCCTTCTTTAATTGATCTTGTAATAACTTGTACAACTAATCACAATTAGACATTAATTTTGTCACACTCTGTACTGTTGATTCCTCTTTTCATGTTAGAAGTTATGCCTTGCTTAGATTTTGTTCATTATGTATTAGTTAACTTCTTTAATGAATTTGCAATTTGGTTGCTGTGATGATTAGTTCCAATTCATTTTCTTCTTTCTTCAATTCTTATAGATAGCTTTCCCCTAATTTTGGCTGATCACATTATTTTGTTTGTCCCTCTTTATCCCTATTTCTATAGTTAGTTTAAAAAGAATTCAATTTCAAACGGTGTTGTAAGTTTGCTCACATTCAATTCATCATACTTTGAGAGTTTTTTTAATAGTTTGCTTCTTTTCTTACAAGTACTTTCCATTTGTAATGGTTTCTAAATCAATTCTGATGATTGGAATACTAAACACCTGCAGCTTGACAATGAAGATGCATATTCAATCATATTATATGGAAGTGATACCTTGTTTGCTTTGTGGCTAGCATCTGCCCTTGTGGGTGCTATTGATTCAATTCCATTGGTGTGTTTTAAATCTGAATTCCCGAGTTTCTTTAGACCATGAATAAAACATTCATATTCCTTTTGGCTAATAATTGTAATCGTAAAATTCAGCTGCCAAATTGCTAGATTCGGACAGTGTTTCAGCTTGATACATGAAAAAGGGAAGGGAAACGGAGTTGATACTTTCTCTAGTAGAACCATGACTAGTTAAAATAGCATCAAGATAAAAAAGAATGGATTTGGACTGTGTTTGGTTGGTATTCAGACAGTGTTTTCTAGGATCCATTGTAACTCATTGGACAAAAATAATGTGTCCCATATATTCAACCGTTTCGTGTTCAAAAAAAATTCTCTTTTTGACAAATAATCAGTTAGTTTGTAGTAATTGTAATACTATTTCTAAGTTTGTAAATGTAAGTCCCAACTGTTAGAGTAAATTAATATATCATCAAAGAAAACCAAAACAAACCTCCTCAAATATGGCCAAAAAAGCTCATTCATTAGAGATTGAAATGTGGTTGGGCATTCGTAAGACCAATTAGCATGACTTTGAATTCAAAATGGGTGTGGTGAGTTCTAAAAGCAGTTTTTTTTGTATATCATCTTCCTTGATTCAAATCTGGTAATAGTTAGACCTTAAATCGATTTTTGAAAAATATTTAACCCCTAATAATTCATCTAATAAATCCTCGACAACAAGAATGGAAAACTTATTTTTAATGGCCATATCTATTTTGTGTGGAAAACATTACCCAACGGAATCATCGTCATGGTCGATTCAATATCATAGTGAAAGTTAAAAATCCTTAATATTAAACATTTAGTAAAATGTTGAAGTAAAATTTAATATATTTTTAAATAAATTATGTAAAATTTAATATTAATTAAAATTAAAATAATACATGATATATTTAAATAATAAAATAATATATTATAATGAATTTTTATATAAATAATTTTTATTTAAATATATTATCGATGAATTTTTATATAAATTATTTTTATTTAAATATTTAAAATTTCATTTGTTAAAAAATATAGAACAAGATCAATTTGGTAAAATATACATTCCACTAATCTTTTATTCCTTCAACCAAACACTGTAATCTTACATTACTGCCAAACAAAGTAATGTAACATTCCAAGTAATGTGTTAGGTAATGTTACATTCCGGTAATCCTATTCCCACTGGTAATCTTATATTTCGTGAACCAAACACACCCTTAGGATGTGTTTGGTTCACGGAATGTAAGATTACCAGTGGGAATATAAGATTACTAGGGAACTAGATTATTGGGAATGTTGTATTTTGTGTTTGGTTAGTTTAGCAGGAATGTAAGATTACCTTGTTTGGTTAAAGGAATAAAAGATTATTGGAATGTATATTTGATCAAATTATCCTTATTATATATATTTTTTAACAAGTTGGAAAATATTTATATATTTTCTTTAAAAAAATTAAATTCATAATATATATATATATATATATATATATACAAATTGAAAATATAAAATGTTTAATGAAAGGGTAAAAATTTATTTTAACCCCTGAACTTCATATAAAATTTTAATTATAGACTTTTTTTTGTAAATCTAAAATAGTTTAAAGATAAATTTGTAATTTAACCTTCGTAGAATTTTTATTATTCAATGACAGAAGAATGATATTTTTGAAGAAAAAAATTAAGGGCATTTTAGTCCAAAACGTCAGTAATCCAACAATACCTAAGGAAAGAGGTAATGACATTCTCGGTAATATACCCCAAAATATCTACCATTGGTAATAAAACATTATCGGGAATGAGATTCCCGACCAACTAAACATGGGAATGTGAATTTCATTCCCATGAGAATCTCACATTCTTTGATCCAAACACCCTCTTAGAGTTTTCCTTTACCAAATGTTGTGGGCTAGTGGGGCCGATTTGTGATTGGGTTATGAGTGTTGATTTGGATTGGATTTTTGGGCCTACAATAAATAAATAAAATGAAATTAGTGTTTATATATGTATGCCCAATAATTATAAATAATAAGTAATAAGTATAAATATAATACTAATAATAAGTACGAGTAATGATAATAGTAATAATATTGATAATAAATTAAAATCAATAAAATCAAATAATAAGTCTCAAACGAAATGGGTGTCTACAGTTGTCCCTCTTTGTCTATTGGCGAGTTAACTAAAATATGGCAAAGATAAAAAGACAACCCATTTTTTTCTAGTTCTAAATTGGTATCTTCTCATACGAGAATAAAGAAATCTCTGTATCTCTAGGGAGATAAAACTTGTACTTCAAAGGAAACCTTTTCAAAGATCATATTTTAAGAGAAACAATTTCAAATAGGATAAAGGTTTTCCATTATAAAAGGTATCGAGAGAGATAAAACTTTGTTTCCAGTGAAATGATCTCGAGAGAGAATTTCAAAAGTTGCATTTAAAAAGAAATCTTGAGTGAGATCTAATATCTCAAGCGAGAATTCTTTTTGAGAAAAACTTCATTAAGTGAGACAAAAGTTTATTTCAATCGAAACTATCTCAAGTGAGATAAAATTTTGTTCTTATGAAGATGTCAAGTTTGAAGAAAATATTGCTCATTCTCTTTGAAGATATGTAGTCTCCTTTGGATAATTTGTTTCTTTATCCGATGAAGTGAAATTGAGGTTGACTTCTCTTTTGCAAGTTAAGTCAAGTCTTGGATGTTCTTTCATTGTGAAGTTGAAATTTGACTCAAAAATCTATAAAATCATACATATACGTGTAAAGTCATAATTCAATGCTCCTAGGCATGCCTAAAACGTAGAAAATTACCTTCTCGTCGCGAGTTAAGCTAAGTTTATAACGATTCCTCCATTGCGAGTAAAGTCAAATTTTGGATGACTCCCCTTTGCAGATTAAGTCATGTCTGAAAATTGTCTCTAATGAGATGAAATTTTTTCAAGAGAAAATATCTCAAGTGAAATAAAAAATTCGAGAGAAACTATCTCGAGTGAGACAAAAAATTTTAAGAGAAAACTATCTTAAGTGAGATAAAATTTTTGTTTTAAGAGAAACTGTCTAGAGTGAGATGAAGATTTTCAAGCGAAAACTAACTTAATTGAGATAAAATTTTTGTTTCAAGCGAAACTGTCTAGAGTGAGAAAAAGATTTCAAGACAAAACTATCTCAAGTGAGAAAATTTTTGTTTCGAGAGAAATTGTCTCAAGTGAGACAAAAATTTTCAAGGGAAAATATCTCAAGTGAGATAAATTTTTTGTTTTTAGAGAAATTGTGTCGAGTGAGACAAAGATTTTCAAGAGAAAACTATCTCAAGTGAGATAGAATTTTTGTTTCGAGAGAAACTGTCTCAAGTGAGACGAAATTTTTTAAGGGAAAATATCTCAAGTGAGATGCAATTTTTTATTCAAGAGGATTGTCCCAAGTAAGACAAAATTTATTTCAAGAGAAAAAAAGTGAAATAAAATTTTGTTTCGAGAAAAACTATCTTGAGTGAGAAAAATTGTTTTTCAAGAAAACTATGATACAAATTTTCTTTCAAGGGAGACAAAATTTATGTTTAAAATGAAACGATCTTAAGGAATGAATTTTTTTTATAGATATTCTTAAGAAATCTAAGATTCTTTGATAATTTAAAGATGTCATTGAGAAAAGAGAAATGGTCTTGAGAAAGAAAAGTTTGAAAGTATTCTCATGGGGGAAAATGATCTTAAAAAGAAATTTGAGAATATTCTTATGAGAGGAATATAATGAATGTTGAATGTTTGATATGAATATGTCAATGAATGCAAGTGCATGCTTTCATGAATGATAATGATGAAGAGGTGTGTAGGAAGCCTTTATTATCAAATTCTTCAATCTTCCTCATTATTTCACTTAAGTCTATCACTATAATTCTTGACTTGCAAAAATTTATTCTTCATGCCCTAATAAACTCTTGTCATAATGTTTTTTATGTTTACCTCGACATTGATCTTGAGCTTCCATGTCTGAGAGACATTTCAATTTTCAAGATGCATTCCCTAGAGATATTATTTTGTTCGAAAATAATTTTTTTCTTCTTTTGTTTTTAAAATGTAAAAAAGTTCTTTTTTGTAAAAAACAAAATCATGCCCCTTGTTTTAGGCTTATAATTGAAGCAAATTATAAAAATTGAGTTCATTGAATTTCAAAAGAATCAAATGCTCTTTCAACTTTTCAAAACTATAGTTCTTTGACAAGTTTCAAGACTAATGTTAAAGGTTGATTTGGGAAGGGTTTAGATCGATTTCATTTTTCAAGGGAATCATTGGTTTGATGATCATGTACACCAATTCCATGCGTTCACATATACCTTTGAGATGTCCCTTGACCTTTAATTAGCCCGCTCAAGTCGCTAGTGATTGCTTAAAAAGCTCATGTGGGCACATTTGATACTTTAGTGCTAGACATTTTAGAGAGTGTTCATATTTCAATTCTTTGAAATCTTCCATTTGTTCTAGTCTCGTAGACTCCTTAGTCCACCTTTCACCAAAACTCATTCTTAATTCAAAATTTTAGGCCTCGCTGCCTGCTTTAAATTATACCTCATTAAATTTGATATGCCTATATTTGTTTTAATTTTGCTTGGAGATTTATCTCAACACAAAGTGACATGATAAGTGTCATGATCTGAATATAATTATATTCATAAAGTTATGGCTCTCAACTCATCCCATTACTTTAGCGGAATACCTCTAATTTAGAGGATTCAAATGTTAGAACGTATTTAACTTGAAAACTTGAATGAAACTCACTTCATAAAGCTTGGACATTACCTTTAAAGTTGCTTTAGACATTACATCCGAAGATTACCAGCTTACTACTTTCAGCGGAGTGCCCCCAACAATATTAAAATTAGATTGCATTAATATCGTGTTATTTCCCTGAGTTTTTTATTTCAAGACTTCTTAAGCTAATCAAAAAAAACCTGTTATAATCTGAGTGTCATTGAAAGTTAAGAAATTTCATCTTTAGAGCTCAATTTCCAAGCAACTAGCTTAAACTAAATTCATCTATTCCACCATTCTAACTGTGTAGATTGTGAATCATCATTAAACATCCTATATAACTATAGTCTAAATGGTCTATCAATATCGCGTACATCGAATGCCCCATCTTACCTATTTAGCGGAAGACTCGTACTTCACTAACGATTTGTATCGAAAGAAGACCTTTTTCTTGCCTAAGAAGGTCAGGGTGTGAATTTGGAGCCTTTTGAGGAAGAATAATCGAGTGATTTTGTTTTTGGTATAATCAAGTGATTATTCGTGGTAGAAGGTGAAGTAGAAGAAGTGAAAGGATTTGAAATACCTTGGTAATTGTCTTTGAACTGATATCTCCTTTGTTGTTCGTTTTCAATTGTGATGGCTATTTGTAGTGCATCATGAAGATCTTCAAAGTATTGTTTATCAAGTTCATCACGAATGTTTAGATTGAGACCTTTCATGAATCGATAACAGTAGTAATATTTGTCACAATACCTTGCTCGTTGCATTAAGTATTTCATCTCTTGATAATAATCCTCCACAGATCTATTAACTTGTTGTAGTTTTTGAAGTTTTTGTCTGTGTTCTTGGGTGTATAACTTGGAATAAACTATTTTCTCATCTTAAATTTGAGCATATCCCAAGATTTGATTGGACGTTTTCCACATATAACTTGTACGCTCCAAAATAGTGTCTTGTTATTGACTCAATGTGTAGCTATAGATATATTTTCTTCTTCGAAACACTTGTAGTCTTGGAATATGAATTCCATCTTGGTATCCCACTCATAGTAGGCGTGTGGGTCTTCCACACCATAAAATTGTGGAATGCTCGATCATGGTACCTTTGGCTTGAACATCCTGAAAATCACAACACTAAAAAATATAAAGTGAAAAAATCAAAGAAACAAGAAACCTCCCAAGTCAATCCAAGGACGAAATACACCAAGAAAAAAGTAAGTTGATCTTGTACTCTTTAAAACTCTTTTACCAAAAAGTTTTTTCAATGTTCGTGTCAGAATTCAATCGCTAACAAAGAGGAAAGATTTACTGTAAAACTCTAAGAGGTCAAATAAAGGTAAGACTCTAAGATAACGAGAATGTAAGGAATGAGAAGTATGCAAACACTTTTATTCCTACTAATACAAGGAAAAGAATGTTTTAGATGATGTAGAGGAACAAAGAAAAGGTAAAACAGAGGAACCTAAAGCAATAAGATTCAAGAAAAGTTGGAAAAACCTGAACCTAGAAAAACCTGATTCGCTAGATCAACTTGAGAAACGCTTTTGAGAGGGTTGTAAATCTCCAAAAATTTTGATTTTTTTTAATTTTCCTCAATGAGTGTAGTTTCAATCTAAAAAAATAGCACGAAATTCTTTTTGAAAAATTATGTGTAATTTCGTCAATGTCACTGCCCCAGATTTGTCAATAAAACTTGTATGATGGATTTGAGGGGTCAAATGAATTCCAGTTGAGATTGCTCCTAGGACGAAGCAAGTACCTGTAAAAAAATCAGCTCCAAATTTCTTCGTTTGCAATTACTAGATATTTTAGTTTTATTTTTATTTGTTTTTTCTCTTATTTTTTTGCCTTTTCTTCTTTCTTTTTTTCTGGTTTTTTTTATGAAAAATAGAAAACTAACAAGAAGGAATTGAAACTAAATTGAAAAATAATGAAAAAGAACCTGAAAAATAATGAACTTGTGCGAACTAGCTCCATTTGGGTACCTTGGCAGTGTATGCGTGCAAGATGAAGCAAAACTAACTTATACCAATTGATAGAGATGCGGTAGTGGATAAATGAATGTTGCTCTCATTGAGGAATCAAACCTAGAAAGATCTAGACTAGATGAAGAAAGCAGAAGGATTTAAATGGAAGAAGAAGATTATGGAGTTGTAGAAGATGGAAATATTTGGATAAATATCCTATCAGACCCTCCTAGTCACGATGAAAATGAAAACTCAATAAATGGATATAACCAACCCTTTAAATCGCACTAAAGAGGCAAAACGAAGTGTGAATATCTCTGTTACAAAGAACTTGAAAAGAACGTAATGAAAATAAGCTTTGAAGACACAAGTAATCAACACTTGCAAGATAAACTCTCAATGTATTGTATTTAAGAAAAATGCCATTAGAAAGTTGAATGAAACCCCCTTTATATAGGAGAAGAGTTCTAAAATTCCTAAATAACTAATGAATAAAAATAATAATAAACTAAACATGTTCTAATTATAATTCATAATGAATAATAATAAACTAAGAATAATATTTTAACTCGATCTTAGTTCCTAATAAAATAATAAATCTAATCCTAAAAGATAATGTGTCATCCTATATTAAATTATATTATAAATAATCAATTAAAATATTGAAAATTTATAACAATTATAAAATCTCGTATTAATATCGTATAGGAATTTATGCATGCATCGTCTTCAGTAAAATGAGCATATTTTGAATTCCCAATACCGGATTGATTTGATTCAAGATTCATTGGAAGGCTAAGAAACATTTGGTTGTAACTGTAGAAGATATGTTAACCAAATAACATTAGGATCCCATTCAAAAAGTAGTCGCAAGTCTACTGCTATTTTGTTCTTCTTTTCCAAGGCTTGGTCGTGTGGATCAGTTGGAAGCGATAGTTCTTCTTCCTTTGATCTGAGTCTTGTGGTACATGTATCAACCACTAATATATTTCCATATTATTTTTATTTTTATTAAAAATAGGATAAACTACTTGGATGGCCACCCAACTATGGAGTTGGTATTGAAATGACCATCATTTTCAAATTTGTGTCAATATGACCAGTGAACTATTTAAATGGGTTTAATATAGCCACTAGCCGTTAAAATCTAACGGAGGGGTGATGTGGCAGTCAACAGAAATTTGTATAATTACACATTTGATTCTCAATACTTGTATATTCTATCAATTTAGTCCTAAATTTAATTTAATTCAAAAAATTAATCCTCCAATCAGGATGTGTAATGTGTCAATCAATTATTCGGACATATTTTAATAGTTACATGTGTCATAACCTTATTGGATATTTTTAATTAATTTGAATATATTTTAATTAAATTATATAATTAAACTTGTTTAAAAATAATTATTTTACAATTATTTTTAAATGATAAATGAATAAGAAACATTTTGATAAAGAACAAAATAATATATAATTTTAGTTTTTATAAAAACATTTATTTTATAATTATTTTAAAATGATAAATGAATAACAAACATTGTAAGAAAGAAAAAATATAATTTAATTTTAAAATTTTACAATTATTTTAAAATGATAAATGAATAACAAACAGTGTAAGAAAGAAAAAAAATATAATTTAAACTTACTTAAAAATAATTATATAAAAATAATTTAATTTTATAATATAAAATTTTAAACTCATTTTTATTTTTAAACTTTGCATTGACTAATAATTTATTTGTTAGAATATTATTTAAGTAGTTATTCAAGTAGTTTATCCTATAATTTATTTATTAAAATTATTATTATTATTATCATTTATGTATATTTAAAATAAGATATATACAAGGTTTGACAAACAAATAACAAATATTGGTCTTGCCCCAATAGTTAAGGCATGCCCACCTTGAGCATAAGGTATAAGGATTGATTCCTCTTTGCAGTTATATTTCAATTAGTTTTATTTTCCTTTTAAAAAGGTGGTGACAATTGTCATCACCTTATTGATGAAAACATTCATTTAATTAAAATATTAAAAATAATTAAAAAGCTCTCCAATCAGGATTAATCTTTTTAATTAAATTAAAATTATGATTAAATTGTTAGAATATACAAGTATTGAGGATTAAATGTGTAATTATATAAATTTCTATTAACTTTCATGCCATCCCTATGCTCGAAATTAATTTCTAGTGGCTATATTGAACATATTTAAATAGTTCAGTAGTCATATTGACGCAAATTGAAAATGATGGTCATTTTGATACTAACCCTATAATTAGGTGGTTATCCAAATAGTTTACCCTTAAAATTAAAATGTATGGAAAATACACATTTTATTTCATTTTTTTAGAATGTATAATTTTTAAGATTTTACATTTTGAATTATATAATCTAATAAAACATAATTAAATTTTTTTAACAAAAAAGTAAAACAAAATTAAAATGGATCGATTTAAATTTATATATATAATAATTGGATTATAAATATGAATAATTTAAAATTTAATTATTAAATTTATTTTTTAATCTTTTATAAATTAATATTTAAAAATATATAAAATCTATCTAATTAGTAATCAAATATTTAATATTTGCTCTGGTGCTCTCAAATTCTATTTGTATTAACTACGGTATAAAATATATGGTAAACTACGTGTTTAATATATAAATTGTTGATTTGATCCGTTTTAGTATTTAATTTTTTTTTTCAGAATCATACCTAATATTTAATTTTTTGTTTCATTTTAATACATAGCTGTTAAACACTTAATGGACAATCTCGTCGATTGTCGCGTCCACAGTTGTTGACCATCGCATCCATCGATTGATGAAGCTCATGAACGCATTAATCTTGACAAATTGACGATGAACTCTTTGATTTCTTCATTCTCCTATCTCCATGGTCCACCGTCCGATGAGACGGAAATTGGACTATATTGGTTGACTCGTCATTTTCTTGTGGTCTATCGTTTGAATTGGTCATCCATCCACCAGAGTTATGCTATGTCAGCCCGTCCGTTAAGTTTTTAACGATGAGACACTAAAATAAAATAAAATAAAACGTTAGGTATGATTTTTAAAAAATAAAAGTTTAATTACTAAAAGCATAACTTACCCTAATATATATGTTACTCCTCCAAGTCTCAACGCCCTTCCTTTGTAATTTGCTCTTAGTGGTAATATATGTATTCGTATGATTAGATTTATATTTATTGAATTGAATTAAAATTAAGATCAAATTGATAAAATATATAAATATTGAAGATTTAATATATAATTAAATTAATTTTATTAATTATCACATTAATAATTGGTTAAATATTACGACATATCAATTGAATAACACATTTAGATAATTAAATAAGCACAAACCCACTTACCTCAGTGGTTAAAGAATTATTGTTATTCCTAGAGGTTATGAGTTCAAGTACCAACAACTATATTAAGGTGATTAAACGTTTCATTTCAATTAAGATGTGGTCACTT